TCTGTCTCAAACCCTTAGGTTTCTTCTACGATATCACCAACCGCTGTGCCTCTCTTCAAAAAATACTCGAAGGTTCAAGTTCCTGGGTATAACACTATCAGGTTTAGTATCCACCCACTCTATAGATTTGCCAATTTACCCCATAGATGGTGCGTGAACTGGCTTACAGGGTCTGGGCTCCGGACCTAGCTCACCTAGGTATTTACAGGTCCCGCAAGGCCATCTCCCACCTCAACACGGAGGTATGACCCCACGTCCAAATCATAGTTAAACGCCTCATTCACCCTTCTACAGTGCCGTAGTCAGGGCCTCACTTTCCACGGCCACACGTTTTGAAACGCTTAAATGTCATCGAGAGGCCAACATCCCGCCACCACATCTGTGGCCATGTACTTACCTCGGCCATTCACCGCCACTTGGCACTAGTAGGGCCTCATCTGTCACTAGTCACAGTTAAGGTTTTCGCTTCGGCAATAGCCTTACAGTCCAGTTCACCTTAGGAACCCACCCCGCCTCCCCCTCGTTTCATTCTCCTATACGCCCCTACTAAATCCAACTCATTAATTCGTTTCTAGAATGTCTCAAGATCCGACTCCCATTGACAAGTTGCCTATCGACGAGATTCCGTTTACTCCTATCAGACTCGAGTCTCCAGGCGAATATCTCGCCCCCTCTGCCCCTACGTTCTTGAGAGCATGGACTATTCCAAAAATTACGGCCGAACTTAGGCTTAGGGGCATCCCCTTTCCAGCTATGGCTCATAAGGCGGAACTCTACAGACTTTTGACCTATCAGGCCCCCGAGCCTAGGCCAGGCACTAGCTCTCAAGGTCAACCATCTGGCGCTTGCACAGCCACCCAGGACACCCTTGCGGCAATCCTGGCCAACCGGCAGACCCTGGACAGCAGGTTAAGCAAGGTGGAGAGTGCCATCACCTCCCCTGGTAACCTCCCTGGCCTCTCAGCCCTCACCCCGGCAGTCTCTGCTGCACCAACACCCGCCCCTATACTTCCCCCTTGAGCTTCTGTCTCAGATACGTCACCTTTCGTGTCACCAGCTCACTCCATCCCAGACTCCATTAGGAAAGAAATCCTGGATGGGAAGAATGTGTATCTGGTGTCATTGCTTATAGCCTCCCAAGACGTGCTGGAGAACCGGGCTTATAACTATTTCTGTGGTGCTTAAAACCAGAGACTCTAGGCTTAACAAAAAATTATCTATTCCCAATTTCGTTTTGGCTTTCGGGACATACCGCGATGTCATTTGCTCGGTATATCCCCACAGGAGAGAGGAACTGGACCTCTATCTCCATAAAGTGGTAGATTTGGACATCAAGTACGGGGGGCTCATCTTTTTATGATCGTAAATCGATATCAGCGAAAGCTGCGACACATCTGAAGCAGTTTAACATAAGAATTAACTGGTGTCAGATGTATACAGAATTATTCTGTCGCCACTTCGCAAGTCTGAGGCCCCTGTTTTGTGCTATATGTAATTCTTCAACCCATTTGGCTGATTTGTGCCCTTCTGTGGCTGATCCATCCACTCCCTCCCCTCACAATAAACAAGAGGGTGGTCGACGGGATAAACTGGGTAGGCCCATCTCCTTTCTAGGGAAAGCTCAGGTGTGCAACAATTTCAATGCAGGTTCCTGCAGCTTCAGCGCCCGTAGATTGTTGCACATCTGCTTCAGGGCACACACGTACCCGGCCAGGTTGTCACCTAACAAATGACTATTCAACATTAATATCGACAACCTGTTTTTTTACTTGAAAACTCATCCGAGCAGGCATCTAGTGGAATTTTGTCAACAGGGTTCACCCAAGGCTTTCTCATGGGTCTCGTAGCCATTCCCCCAGGCATGCTGGAATGTCCCAATCTCTTATAAGCCTGCCCCAGAAGCCACGGACGCACTCTTTTCCGCTTAAATAGCACAAGGTTCCATGACCCTTTACCTCCTCACCTTTTCCTCCTGGCGCACTAATCCCATTGGTATAGCTGTGCACAAATACTCAAATAAAAAGCGCATGATTATCGATTTATCGGCACCGCACTCTTCTTTTGTTCCCAGCATCAACTCACTCATACCCGCAGACAAATTTTCATTACAGTACGTAGAAATTGACGACGCTATACAATCCATCATTTCAACTGGTAGCAACCCTTGGCTTAGCAAAACGGACATAACCAATGCATTTAAATTACTGCCCATGCACCCATCACTTTGGCACTTGCACGGTGTTAAATGGTACTATTTTTCCACACGACTCACTTTCGGGTCCAGAAGCAGCTGTTTGATATTTTCGCAGAAACTCTATGCTGGCTGCTTCTGAACATTCTTAGGTGTCACTCCTTCATTCACTATTTGGATGACTTCATCATAATAGAACCGGGTGCACGCACACCCACCGATATCCTCAGCACTTTTCTCCACTCTCGGGGTGCCCTTGTCTCCCTCTAAAATGATTGGCCCTACTACTTAACTTTTTTGGGGATAGAGCTGGACTCTGGTTCCTTCCGCGCCAGCCTTCCCCCCGACAAACTGGTCCGCTTGAGAGGGGAGATAGACATGTTCCTGCGGAATGATGTATGCACCAGGAAGGAACTTCAGTCCTTATTGGGGTCCCTGAATTTCGCGATGCGCATCTTTCCACAGGGAAGGTCTTTCATATCGAGGCTTCTTTGACTGCTTCACGGGGTACCGGACGCCGGACCGTTGGACCAGCACGCCAAAGCTGACCTACTCATGTGGGGGAAGTTTTGGGCGGAGTGGAACGGTATCTCCATGTTTATTCCCCCTCTCTCTCTGACTCCTCACCCTTTGTTCACACTAACGCTGCAGCCAACACAGGTTTCGCAGCTATATTCAGTAATCACTGGTTTAGGGGTCACTGGCCCGCTGAGACAGATGCTTTGCTGGGTTTCAGAGAGATGTCAGCCCTATTTGAAATTTACCCCATTGTGGCGGCTGCACACACCTGGGGTCATCTCTGTTCCGGCAAGGCAGTAAAATGCTATTCCTACAACTTGTCAATGAGACAGCCACTAGAGGCTTTAGAGGCTGGATTAACCCATTTATAAACATAGCAGTTTCTCTGAAATTGCTATGTTTATAGAAGAAAGGGTTAATCCTAGAGGGACCTGGCACCCAAACCACTTCATTAGGCTGAAGTGGTCTCGGTGCCTGAAGTGGTCCTTTAAATTACTCAGCAATCTACTTGACTAATCCCCATTCGATCCCAACACAAACCTGGTGATCAAGTCTGCTATCTATTCAGCTTTTTACAGGTTCCTAAGACCTAGGGAATTTACCGTTGTTTGCCAAGGAGATATCACACACAGCCTCAAAACCTCACAACTCACTAAAGTAGAGGATTATTACGTTCTCACTATTCCATCTACAAAAATTAACCATTCACTACACCCCACTATCATTCCCCTCTTTCCAACAGATAATGCTTGGTGTCTGGTTAAAGCACTAGACCACCTACGGTCAACTCATAAAAACACACTTACCAAACTCTCCGCTCTTACAACTACAAGGGCACCCACTCACCACAGCTAAATTCACAATGCATGTGAGAATCAAAACTGGGTTACAACCCGGCTTCGTTTTCTGGGCACTCCTTCCGCATAGGAGCCGCTTCATCAACCTCTAGTACAAACACCCTGGTCCACATCATCAAGAGACTGGGTCGATGGAAATCCTCCATATACCATACAAACATACCACGACCCGAAAGCCTTCAGGAACTTAGTTATGTAATAAATGCAATAAAATGTGTTTTCTTCGAACTTCTCTTTTGCCCTCTTTTATTTACAGGCCCACTCGGACTCTAATTTCGGCACACCACAACCAACTTTCATCTCAGACACTATCCATTACATATTAAATTCCGAGAACAAATATATATATATATATATATATATATATATATATATATGTTAATTAAACGAATATGTGGAATTGTGGTTGAAGGAAAATATATCAGGCCTGTTTTGCTAAATAGCAGCCAGAGATTTTCAGTTAAATGTCCCAGGGAGAGATGTTAAGTTTGCAATATACATTGCTGATACTCTGCAAAACATGGTATGGGTCCCTGGGGCGGAGCATTTGGAGAGCAGGGTGGGCCAGTGCTCCAACAGCACTAGTTGTTCTGAAACAGACCAGAACTTGGATTTAACTTAAAGCGGCTTAATCCAACCAATCAGAGTGTTCTTAGCCTAATTGCAGGGCGGGGCAAGGCTTTTAAAGAAAACTAGAGCAGACCGGAAGATATGAAGAACAGATCCTGAGAGAGGGAAAGAAGAGGAATCGATTGGGGAAAGGTAAGTTCGGCATGACAGTGCAGCTTTAAGAGTTACAGAGACGTTAACTAATTGACACTCACATGTAGCTGGTCAATTAGCAGACAGGCCTTTAAAAGAAAAGATCAGCCTGCTGCAGAGTGAGGGAGTAAAAGACAGCTAGGAGAGCTGAAGGACAGAGAACAATTGTGAGTAAGGAATTTTGTTTTGTTTATTTAAAGCTGTTTTCTCATCAAATAAAGGAAAACTGAACTGGATGTGTCCTGGACTTTCTATACCCTAGAAAGCTGTGGTTAACGTAAGATCTGTGACAAAATCCTACCTGTAAAAAATCCTGTATGTATGTATATATACACATACACATACATACACACACACACACACACACCTTCAAATTCTGACAATGGCGGCAGAGGGAAGGGAGGAGATAAAAATCTTATAAAAATTATAAGAAAGCCAGGAAAAAAAACCCCATATCATTCTTATCTGTACCGTGAACACCTAATACGCAGTTAATAAGCGAGACCCGCTTATTATTTTATTAAAAGTTAGTTAAGATGGCATGACACACCTAATACATTACACATGCACATCTAATCTATGTGTGATTGGGATACACAAGTTTTATTTTAATCTTTCTCTAAGAATATGTTCATTATTTTTTGTTTAAAACAGGTTTTATGGCAAACAAAAAGATGGAAGGTGTTGGCTTCATGGTAGCTCTTTCTGAAAACAAACACCGCAAGAATGCAATATCCCTGATCCAAAATACAAAGAGAATTATTCAAAAAATCAAGAGGAATGTTCTGAAAAAAACTTGCAATTTACGGAGACAAAACTATCGGTTCAGATGAAGCCAACCAAACGGCATAGCAGGAGCCCGAAGAAAGAAAGTGATCCTCAAAAAGAATCTGGTATAACCACGAGAGTACTCATGTAATGCTTTAAAAAAAAAAAAAAAAAAATCAAGGGGCCAGTATTTCCTATACCGTGGAATCAGACACATTGAATCATCTAAGAGGATGTTCTCTCCCTGCACAGAAGAAACAGAAAGCAAAAAAATGTTCCAGCATCAAAAATATAAAAAAGGAAATGTTACATCAGATTGCTGATATCTAGAAAAAGGAGGTTCTACATCAAAGTGAAACAACTATACGGCAAGAATCATATCAGCCAATTATGCCAGAAGAAGTGGGTGAACCGACTGTGCCACAAAAAGTAGACAAACCAACCATGCCAGCTCAAACACGTGAACCACCAATGTCACAAGAAGCAGGTCCTAGTGACATACCTGAGAAAGGCCAAGTACAACAGACAGATGTGCATTGTATTGATAAGATGCAAGATGGGCAATGGCTGCCATGGCTCAATCTCAAATCAGAGTGCAAAGACAATATAATCAACAATGAGTGGTTGACACAATAATTGATGCTGCCCAGACTCATCTAAAAATGCAGTTTGATACAGATGGATTGCAGAGTTGTGTGTTAGCACAATTTGGCATGACGCCTGTGACTAGGAAGGCTGTTCAAATACATTATGATGTGAACCGTCACCACTGGTTCACAACAGCCTTCCAGAAAGGGATTATTGCGGTTGCGGACAGTTTAAGAACATCACACCTGTCTCCTTCAGCCAGAAGGGAGATAAACCAATGCTACGGTAATGTCATCAAGAAACCACTGAAACGAGTTCACATGGTAAAAGTGGACCAGCAACCAAACGACGACGATTTCGGCGTATTTGCAATTGCAAATGCTTTCGAGCTGTTGAGTGGTAGGAATGCCGCATGCAAATACATTCATCAGCAAATGAGGAAACATCTTATCTCTTGCTTGGAGAACGGGAAAAAAAATAAATCACAGCATTTCCAAAGAGATTGTAAGATTTTGAAAATGAATGATACAGGCAAAACCTCAATATAAGTATACATAGTTAAAATAATAAATACTGATCTTTCTGACAGGTACTCTCACACCTCACCCATTTGCCAATTATTACACTGACTTTCTATATCCAATTCAAACTGCTAGCACTAATCTACAAAGCTCTCACACACTCCACACTACATTTCCTCTTCTCTCAGCAAATATACCTCTTATAAACTCATTTCATTGTCCTCATCACTACCCTTGCACTCTCTCCCCTGACACTGTTCTTCCACATACCACTTTTACTAGCTTATTTCTACACAGACATCTTATCCATCAATCCATACCCCCTCTGACATGCTGTTATTTCTCCTATGTGTTTGTTTGAGCAGGGCCTTCACCTCTTTGTTATATTCTGTATGTAAATTACTTGTTGGCAAACATCCATATTTTATAACTGTGTATGAACAATAAATAATACATATATTTCTATATAATAAATGTATATTTCAATTTAATAAACAACCCAATCTGTGCAAAATTGTATCCGTTTTATATTAGTTAATGTACGTGCAGTTACATGTACAGTGACATTGGACACGACTCACTTCATGTCCCTGGTATTTCTCATTACCTAACTACTGGTAGAAATCTGGATCTTATGTATAAACTCACTGGACAATTGGTGCACTCACAGATTTTCCAAGTGATCAATATTTATATAAAATGGTGAAAGATTTCCAAAAATGGCAGTCAATGTTTAAGCCGCACCTTACACATTTGGGAGATAAGAGTGAGAGGTACAAGTAAGTCGCCGGGTATAACGGAGCTCCTGTATTCAGCCACATTATCTCTGTTAATCTCCCTCCCTTGCATAGCTCAGACGTCCAGCATAATTATAACTGATTTAGCAGTTTCCCCAGATAGCCGAAACTTTATTTAGGATTAAACAAGTACTACTTTATTGAGTCACACACAGGGGTTTTATATGTCTTTGTTTCTAAAGTGAACCCAAGTAAACCAATAACAGTTTGGACTTGTGAAATAAACCAATCACACTAAGAAGTTCAATTAAAATTCAGCCAGTACCATGTTTACAAGGAAGGATGGTGACAAACAATGACGAGGACCGTGGACCGACTTGAAAACTTAAGGAGTGGCAAATCAGACATATTAAACTAGTTTGAAAAGTCCTCTCCTGGAACAAAGGATGCTTAATACATTTATCTCAAATCCATCCATGCAATACAGAAAGTCCCAATTATTTTAAAATGGATGGTTAGCTAAAGTATCTGCTGTATCCCATTTCAGCAATACAGGGTCCATAGTCCTTAGCAAGGAGGCTTGCTTCTGTTGTATTACGATTGTGTACAGAGGTTAAACATGCCTAAGCCAAAATGGAAGTACCCACACAATGGAAACTAAGAATGACTGAGCTAATATTATATGGGGCTACTAGGCCAATCAAAATTATTATGGTGGGAAAAAAAAACAAACACTGAAAATAGCTGTGGTGGTGATGGTGGGTGTGGCAATACCCAGTGACCATAACGTCAAAAAGAAAGAGCAAGAGAAAGGTAGACAATTAAAAAGGAGCTAGACAAAGTTGTGAGTGTGCCACTAATATAGATTTTTTTATTATTCAGTACTAAAAGATTAGTCACATACATTCCTCAAAAACTGGGAAATATTGGGCTTTTTCTTTTTATACACCACTGAAATTATGTGGAACAATAGTGTGCTTTGAAAGGGACACATCAAGTGCTCAGACATGGAATAATCAAACTGGAAATGAACAGTCCTTATATCATGGATGTTCAATTTTATTACATGACAGGAGGCTTTCTATTTTGCATAAACTTTCTTTACTTTATGCCTCCAGCAGCACAAGTCAATCAATCAAAAGAAAAAAGTTTTAACCAATCAGAGTCCAGCACATGCAGCATATAAATCCCTGACAGGCGTTCCATTTCCGCTTTCTTTGCTGCTCCAGCCAAGGCACAGGTCAGAGTACTTTTTTCTACTATCTTTATTTCCATAGATATTAAGTTCTGGGATTATTATAGACTTAGTGTACATGGTTAGAATTATTGTTGCTTTTCTGTTTGCTTTAACTGGGTTTTTTTTGTTTTTGTTTTTTTTAAAAACCCTTCTCTTATCTCCCTGTCTCCCATCTCCCTGTCTCCCCTCTCCCTGTCACTACTCTTCCCCTGCTGGGGATCTCCCTCTGTCAGCCCTTTTTCACTGCGCGATCGCGGCTAGCTGCTGCGATCGCGCTCATCATTAGAGACGCAGGTGTTACCCTCCGGGGGGGGATCTGTGTGGGGGGTGGGAGCGGGGAGGATCGGGTTTTTACCGGTAGTGTTATCCGGCGGCCGCGATCACGGCTAACACCGCGACCGTGGACCGCGCAGCATTTTGGCGCGAACGGCGGCCATCTTGGATCCCGCGGAAGACCGCGAGATCCAGGTCGGCCATCTTGATTACTGGCAGACCGTCATTCAAATGGTCTGCCTTCCCTTCTCACTACCCTCAACCAACCAAGTGGACAACCAACTGTTATAATTCTTCAAAGGATTGGATGTTTGGACTGCATATTAAAGGGGCAGACAGCTCTGTTGTGGAACTTAAAATACACCTTAAATATCCATCTAACAGCAATTTGAGGACCATTTGTATATAGATTTAAAGAGACACTCCCTGATTATCACACATTATAAGAGTGTACTCTCCAGAGGTGACCCCTCTGAGTGGGGTGACCCCCCACAAGCACCCTGATTATTGGTATTAAAGGGGTGACCCCCCTGCGCTGGGTGACCCCCAGGCGTGTGCTTTAACTGCAGCAAGCTGTTAAAAATATTTGGGGTGACCCCACTAATAGCATTCTGCAGATACGCAGTACCGGCACCCTTCACATTACGACTCGGGTGACCCGTAAATTCCTCCCAACCAACGGAGGCGGAACCTACGGTAATAGGTTTCCATTGGGCTATTATTATTGGGGCACGTCCCAGATCATTATTAGGCGACACAGCCTAACCGAATCTCGCATGTTAATTTATGACCGCTCATCCCGGTCTCATGGAGGGTGACCCCCTCACTAGCCCATGATTACAGCCAACGGTGCTATACCTTACAGGAACGGTCATTGAACCATCTGGGTCCATTCTACACACTGGGGAACCCCAGTCGTAAGTGGAAAGCCACAGTATTACTATTACCGTTTACTACTCCAGTACTTCGGTAACTGACCCTGTCTTGTCTTCCACAGACAGACTAACTCAAAATGAGTGAATCTTCTCAGCCAACCCAACCCGACATCCAGTCGATGATCAACTCCGCGGTGGCGGCCTCGATGGAGAAGGCTGTAGCCAAATTGTTGGTCCATAATTCGAGTGGGGACCCTGATTCTAAAGACCCGGAGAGGTCTACAGGGGACCTTGTCACATCTAAGAGGCATTGGAAGGGCAGTGGCCCAGCACCGCGAAAATCGAAGGGCAAGGCCCCGTCGAAGAGGAGCCGCCAGACGGAACGCCAGGGCCCTTCTACCCTCCCACTGTCGTCCTCTGATGAGGAGGAACATAATACGCCTCCCGCACTGGAGGTTATGGATGAGTGGAAGGCGGAGGACTCCCCGTCCGAAGAGGAGGACTGGTTTGACACACACCGGGGTGACCCAGGGTCTGACCTAGGCGAAGACCAGGACGCCCGTCATGGGCATAGGAAACCCCGCATCCAGGCGGATGGTCCGGAAGAGGGCGCTTTCCTGGACCCCCAGGGCACGCCGATGTTCGACCCCCGCACAATCCGCCACCCAAGGTCATCGGAGTGGGGTCTCCCGGACCACCTGGCCCAATTCATCCACCTCTGGCTGAGACAGCCGATGGAAAAAGAAGTGCGTGCAAGACTAAAGGCCGAGTGTCCGAGACCCATACTTCCGGACAAGATTGCTCATACCCCGGAATTTGATACTACGGTAGTCCTGTACATGTCGCGAGCGGGCCGTGATCCTCGCAAAGGCATCGAGAAGGGCCTCAAGGCTTCACAGGATAAGCTTTTGGACATGCTTGGCCCACTACCAAAGATCTTATACCTCGCTGATGATGCCCTCACAGGAGGCAGTGCTCTAGACGCCCACGACATCCGGGAATGGGCACAACGAGCGATCTGCATGTTGGGCAATACCAACGCCGCCCTATGTGCGGAGAGACGCAAGGCTGCTTTCCTAAAAATGGACTCCAAACTTCTGGAGCTTGGAAAAAAGGAGTTGGGCCCACAGGCCAACGGCCAATTGTTTGGGGAGTCGTTCATCGGCGAATTGAAGAAACATGTGAATTTGTTCACTACGTTAAGCAAAGCACAAACTTCGATCAAACAATTCTTCTGCAAACCCACAACATACAGAGGGATTTTCGGCAGGGCTGGTAGCCAACGGGGCCGAGCCACCAGCCGCTTCTGGCCGACAGGCCCAAGGAATCAAGCGTTGCAAGCTTTCTTCCCATCGAGACCACCGTTCACTAGAGGTTCCTTCCGTCCCAGAGGGGCGCGCACCCGCGGGCGCATCAATACAGGTGAGCACTCAAAGGCCAATGTATTGCCAATCTCATTTAACTGCTGGCAGAATGTCTATCTTTTCACAGAATTGGGAAAAGATCTCCTCCGACGCTTGGATCCTCCGAACGATCAAGGGTTACGATATAGATCTAACGGACACTCCGACCCAGGCACGTCGCCCACAGCGGGACATGCCAAACTCATAGATGACGAGATTCGAAGCCTGTTCCTCAAGGGAGCGGTCGAATTCGCTCCGGACGACGCGGGTTTCATCAGCAATATATTTGTTGTCCAAAAGAAGACGGGAGACTACCGACCCGTCATCAATCTGAGAGACCTGAACGCATTCGTAGCCTACAGACACTTCAAAATGGAGGGCATTCACCTCCTCAGAGACCTACTCCTGCAACACGACTGGTTCACTCGCTTGGATTTAAAGGACGCCTATCTATCGGTCCCGATAGCCCAGTCCAGTCGGCCATTCCTTAGTTTCCACTGGAGGGGTCGCACGTGTCAATTCACGTGTCTCACGTTCGGACTCAGTTCCGCCCCTTGGTGCTTCACAAAACTACTCAAACCAGCAGTGGCACACTTACGGACTTTGGGTACCCGCTGCCTAATATACCTGGACGACATCCTGATATTCTGCGAAAGTGCATCCATGCTTCGATCTCAGACGAAATTTATAGTGCACTTTCTGGAGTCCTTAGGCTTCATAGTGAACAGAGAAAAGTCGTCGCTCTCCCCATTAAGGACAGTCCAGTTTCTCGGATTCAAGATAGATTCAGTATCATGCACGCTATGTCTTCCCAAATCGAAGATTGCGAACATTCGGAAGGAGATACAGCGTTTTTTGCGGAGAGACACGGTCCCTCTGAGACTCCTGGCCAGGATAGTAGGACTGCTGTCATCCTCCATACAAGCTATCTTCCCGGGACCCCTTCATTATCGGGCCATGTAAAGATTGAAAGCTCACCACCTGAGACGGGGGCACTCGTACGACCAGGAGATCGGAATAACTGCAGAGGTACGGACGGAACTTCGTTGGTGGCTCCTTCACATGGAAGCTTGGAACGGCAGAGCCATATTCGGTCCGAACCCGGACTTTGTTGTGGAATCGGACGCCAGCCTGTGGGGCTGGGGAGCCCATTGCGCGCACGCGTCCACGGGGGGACCTTGGTCAGAAGAAGACAAACGACTTCACATCAATTGCCTGGAACTGATAGCCGGTTCCTTTGTTATCCGCAGCCTAGCCAAACACATGTCCAATTGTTGCATACTTCCACGCATGGACAATATATCTGCGGTCCAGTACGTGAATCACCTGGGGGGTGCCAGGTCACGAGCCTTGACAGAGGCTACCAAGGACATATACCGCTTTTGTCTCCCACGCAACATAACGGTCAGAGCAGAGTACTTACCGGGTCTCAACAACCTCACCGCGGATTGGTTCTCCCGTCATTGGTGGGACAACAGCGATTGGCACCTGGACACAACGATCTTCAATATGGTGAGAACACTCAGAGGACCGCTGCACATAGACCTTTTTGCATCACGCACGAATGCGCAACTACCAAGGTATTACAGCTGGTTACCGGACCCGCAGAGCGAGGTGGTAGATGCATTCCTACAACACTGGCCCTTGATAGGATGCTTTCCCACCGTTTTCGATGCTGGCGAGTGTCCTTCACAAACTACGTATGACCAAAACATCGTTGATACTAGTAGCACCATTATGGAGAAGCCAAGCATGGTTCCTGGACCTACTAGCGTTGTCGCAGGACCATCCACTAGTACTACCAACGTTTCCAATGCTTCTCACGAACCCGAGTGCGGAGCCTCACCCATTAGTATTGCAGGACCGTCTAGAATTGGTAGTCTGGACTCTTTCAGGGGATCTTGGGCAGTCTCAGATCTATCGCAAACGACTAAAGATCTCCTGTGGGACTCATGGGCACCGGGTACAAGACGTAGCTACATGGCAGCATGGGATGTATGGGACCGCTGGTGTCTGGGACGGGGCCTTGATCCATATACAGCACCTGTCACGGCCATACTAAATTTCCTCTCCTACCTGTTCTCCACCGGAAAATCATACCGATCTATTAATGTTACTCGCTCCGCTATCTCGGCGGCGCATATCCCTATTAACGGTACCCCAGTGGGTCAAGAAGCCTTGGTGTGCAGGCTATTACGGGGCATCAAATTAGCCAGACCACCAGCTCCGAAATATCACCTACTATGGGATGTAGATGTGGTTATTCGTTTCATCCGGGATTGGCCTGATAACACGGCCCTGTCACTCAGACAATTGACCGCCAAGCTCACCTTGTTGTTATGCTTAGTTTCCTTTCGACGGGTTTCGGATGTTTGGGCATTCGACGTAGACGGGTTTTCTATAACCCCCGTCGGTGTTACGTTTTTGATATCACGCAGGACGAAGACGGATTCAAAGTCCGTGTCCTATCCTTTTTTCCCGACGGTCCCTCGCCTTTGTGTCGTCGATACTCTGCTCCGCTATGTAGAGGTTACGGCACCCCTTCGGTCTTCTGGAACCGGACAATTGTTAATTTCGTACACCAAACCTTACAAACCAGTTACTACAACTACACTAGCCAGGTGGATAAGATGGTTACTATCTCTAGCCGGAATTGACACTAGCTTTGGGGCCCATTAGGTTAGGGGGGCGGCGGCATCTAGGGCTTTTCTGACGGGAGCCTCTTTGACGGATATTTTACTTACAGCGGATTGGACCAGGGTGTTTTATTTTCGCCAATCATCGCACGCGTCCTTTTCGTTTTTAACCGCAGCGTTAAAAATGCAAAATAGGAAGCCTCCTGTCATGTAATAAAATTGTAGATTATGCTGACGTAGTGTACAGATAATCTTAATTTTAATAATGACAGGAGGCGAGTATTTTCCCTCCCCTTTCTTCTTTCCCTCCCTATACTCTTGGGATTGTTTTAGGTTCTCTAATTGGTAATTAGTTAAATACATGCTATAGGATAGAGGTAAAAACTGAACCAAGGGACGCTTAACTCACATGATGATGGCTAGACAACACACCACTCTCAGATCACAGTTGTATCACACGTATTCACAGGATTAAAGTATTCAAGAGATAGACACGTTATACATTATTATGTGGACAACAGTTGTGTTCCCACGCCTTTCACTTGTTTCTATTTCTTTCAGCTTGACATCGCCTTGTAAAGCAGAGGTCGGTTCCTGAGAATCCACAGTTCATACTACAAGTTGCCAAGTTCTACTGTTCAAGTTCTTCAACGCATCATCGGAAGTTTTTCTCCAGACATGGGTACATCAAAGAAAGAGGAAATGGAACGCCTGTCAGGGATTTATATGCTGGACTCTGATTGGTTAAAACTTTTTTCTTTTGATTGATTGACTTGTGCTGCTGGAGGCATAAAGTAAAGAAAGTTTATGCAAAATACTCGCCTCCTGTCATTATTAAAATTAAGATTATCTGTACACTACGTTAGCATAATCTACAATTGTCTTTGACCACTCTTAAATCTAACTCAGCTTGGGCAGGCTGTCACACAAGCATTCAGTCATAGAATATCCTCCTAACCCTTAACTTTGTAACAGAGCCATTCCTTTAACAATGACACGACGACAAAATATATTAAGTTTGAGGTCAATTTTGACAGCAGTGAATTTCCTTTTTCCTTTTTTTTTTTTCTTTCAAATTTGCAGTTATGCCATCAGCAAACCTTCTTTAACCCCTTAAGGACAGAGCTTCAAAAACTTGTCTTTCACTTAATGACAACAGCATTTTTTTTGCTGTTTGCGTTCAACTGCAATTTGCATTTTACAAATTTATTGCACCGACACATATTATATACCGTTTTTTAAAGGACAGAAAGGGCTTTAATTTGATGTAACATATATATATATATATATATATATATATATATATATATATATATATATATATATATATATATATATATATATATATATATATATATATATATATATATATATATATATATATATATAAAAATGCTTATTATAAAAAAAATACAGAAAAATGCAAAAAAAAATAAAAATGTGTGTTTTTCTACAGTTTTTGCAATAATAATAATGTCTGCAT